ATCCATTCTCTGTATCAATGAGCTTGGGTTTCATTTTGTAGATTACACATATAAATTAGATCATATGATATTTGTCTTTCTGTAATAATGCTCTAATCCCAACTAAACATTTTCATGTACCATGAATTACTTAATTCTTAGGTGGTGCTGGTTGAGAAAAGTATATTATTTATTCCTTTCCAGTTTTTACCTACATAATATTTAAAAATCATGAATATAGGAAAACTTTTGAGACTTAAATAAATGAATCCCCAAAGAAGGAATTTCTGGCATTATTAATATTGTGAACAAGTTGGCTCTGAAATCATAGGCAACATAGGCAGAAGCTTAGCATATTTACTCCAAGCTACTGATTCATGTATTTTGTATTTTCCAGTTGTCTGTGTGTGTGTTTTTAAATCTATTTCCTGCTTATGTTTCTAATAAAACTTTAATTAAATATTTTTATTTCTCATAAACATTTGGAAATCTTTAATATCTAGCCATGTGAAATTTATTGTTTTATTAATGCTATTGAACTTATTTAAAATTTTATTACTTTTTCAAGACTTTTCAGGGTGTATTAACCAAAGGCTTGACCACTTGTTCTTAGAAGTGATAAAAAGTCCTGTGTTCCCTTCTTTACAAATGTTTGTATTTTGAGAGATTAACAAGAGATTGGCCTATCAAGAAGTTCAAATGTTTTTTTTTTCTGTTTGCTTATAAGTATAAGGAAAAAAGTTGCTCATGGTAGTTTCAGTGCAAAGTAACTAAAAACTAAATCTATGGGAAGGTTGAGATTGATTAAAGGTACCTGGTATAAAATCTGAAACACAATAATGACTCTGGTGCATGAATGAGTGGATAGATAAGTAAGGGAGGTACAGTAATAACATCTTTTGTTAATGAGCACAGTGGAGAGATTTGTGGTTCAGCTATTATATTACTATCAGCAGGAAATTCTTTGTCTCTTTCTTGTTGCTTTCCTTTGTCGTTTCTTGCATTCCTTATTTAACCAGCCATGTATGTTTGTTTGTATGTATGTATGTATGTATGTATGTATTTGACCCAAAACATATGATTTGCTATTTGGTGGTGTTGACTATGTATAGGTTATATATATGGTTTTTGGTTCCTTGTTCATAATTTTTTTTTATTTTTAGCCATTTTATGCTATGATTTCAGCTTGTTCAATAGTAAAATATATTAACAGTAATACATTTACAGTGATTTACTTCAAGAATTTTAAATTATATATGTTCCTTTGCTGTTTTTTGTTTATTTTGAATAATTGTCTCCAATTTGAAAATGTCAAAATCCTATTAAAGTAGAAAGTAGATCTTTTTAAAAAGCAAATATAATATCTGAGTGTCATAAAGGGATAATGAAGCATTAAAAGTTGCCTCAAGCCCTAACTGATTTGGCTCAGTGGATAGAGCGTTGGTCTGCAGACTGAGGGGACCCAGGTTCGATTCCAGTCAAGGGCATGTACCTTGGTTGTGGGTGCATTCCCAATAGGGGGTGTGCAGAAGGCAGCTGATCAACATTTCTCTCTCATCAATGTTTCTAACTCTTCTATCCCTCTCCCTCCCTCTCTGTAAAAAAATCAATAAAATATATATTTTTTAAAAAGTTGCCTCAAAATTCTAAAAAAAACAAAATTTGTTTTGGACAATATTATTTATTTTAAATCTAAAATAGATTAATACAGAAGTACAATAAATGCAATAATTTAAATTAGATACTGTTAACACCCTCATTGTGGCCAATTTATTTTCTGTTCTGTTTTTGTTTTGTTTTTCATTAAATGTAGTTAGTAAACTTGAGGTCACAATAACCTATTTTATGTTTTCAGGCAGTTGATCACAGCTGCTTTATAGATATATATTTTACTAAAAAATTTTAGAATATAAGTTGTGGGACTATTGTACACCATCTAAAAACATAACAAGACCACTACAGAATAATACATATTTTCTCCACAAGAATTTAAGGAATTTGTTTAAGGTAAACATATTCCATTTATCTTTTTTTGTCAAGTATTTTCTACTGTATTTTTAAGCACTCATAAAATTCTTACTTGCAAACTAAATTTTAATTTAGTTTATTTGCTTGTATTAATAATGAAGGAAAACTAAATGTTTCATTTATAAAGCTAAAAAAATAATAGAACTATTATCACAACATTGACATCAATTGACTTTCATTTCCTAAATTTTAGTGTTTCACCCCTGTTTACTCACAATAATAAACTTAAAAACAATCATTAAAATACCAATAGCTAACAAAATTCCAGAAACATAAAACAACGTATTGTACACACAATTGCTAAGGTAATGGAACGTTTTTCAACAGACTGCAGATATGAGCCCATTCTCTTCTCAGTGTGATCGAATTCCCATTGCATTCTATAATGCTAAAAAGGCAATGTTCAGTTAGATCAGACAGAACGAAGACTATCTACTCCCTTTTCCTTGCAAAGCCTTTTCTTGGTTCTCAGGGAGAGTCCACTAGTATTTCTACTTTAACTGGATGTGGAGGTGCCTAGGTGTGAAGTGTTTGGGGGAAAGGACTTCACATAGATGTGGATTAGATGAGAAAGGCATAGTTTTCTTCTCTTCCTCAGTTAATGATGATAATAATAATAATGACAATAATAATTTATCTTATTATGTGTGTGAGTTAAATGTTAGTTGAGTTACAGTTATGGATAAGAAATATCTAATTTTTAAAATTTCATGGATAAAAGAGAAAATAAACCAAATTTAATGACTGGAATTTTACACCTAAATAAATGTTCTATCAAGATTTGGAAGCAGGAAAGTCTCTCAGATTACTCAATCATTTCCCTCTCATCCGAGATTAATAATGCTGGGATTATAAATAAAATCTGTTTTGTCTTTTGTTTTTTTGTTTTAGGTTGTTTTTTGTGTGTGCGTGCTTGGATTGTTGTTGTTGTTGTTGTTGTTTGGCAATAGAAACTATCCTTCTTATATCAGTACAGGGGATCACTCACTATAGAAAGAATGATAAACATATTATTGCAATTGTGTTATCCTAAAAATGTGGTACTATATGAAGTGGGACATAGGAAGTAGCAGTTTGTTACTGGGTGCATATTTAATTAGGAAATTACCTAGATAAGGTAATGTTAAAACTTCGCAATTTTATCAAATATTACAAACTAGAGGCCCAGTGCACTAAATTCATGCACTGGGTGGGGAGTCTCTCAGCCCAGCCTGTGCCCTCTTGCAGTCCAAGAGCCCTCAGGGGATGTCCTAAGCAAGCAGGCGGACATCCCTCTCGCAGTCCGGGACCCCTTTCTCCTTACTGCCTGCCTCCTCACTGCTCCTTACTGCTCAGCTCACTGCTCCTTAGTGCTGCTGCAGAGGCGGAAGAGGCTCCCACCACTGTTGCTGCACTCATCAGCCATGAGCCTAGCTTCTGGCCTTATTCTCTTATTGAAGTTCTTGCAGGAAAAGTGCATTCCATATTGATAATTACTCATTTTAGGAACTAGAGTAATATTCTTAAAAATTCTACCTTTATAGTTTTATGTATCAAGAAGTAGCCATAGAGAATTATAAAAGTCCATTGCAATTAATCCAAGAACTGGTAAGTAAAAAAAAAGTGTGGATAAATCTTTGTTAAGAGAAATCTTATCAAGATTTCAGTGAAAAGTGTTTTAGGGTCTGTTTCTCAAAAATGAATTGTTCCTGATATTATTCCTGTGGGAGTGCACTGACCACTAGGGGGAAGCTCTTGTGTTGAGCGTCTGCCTCCTGGTGGTCAGTGCGCATCATAGTGACCTGTCATTCAGCCGTTCGGCTGATTTGCATATTAGTTTTTTTTTATATAGGATACTATGTTGGCTCTGCCATAATGCAATTTCCTAATCATTTTCTTCTGTATAATGTGGATATGTCTTAATATTGCTTTCAATAATCTAGAGATGTAAAAATTAATCTCCAGAGGCCATTGTAAATTTATATGGATGTTTGTGCTGGAGTTTTGTGAGAAAGTATTTCGTACTATTCTCATCACACTGACCTGTGAACCCTGAGAATGAACTTTCCTGAGATATCTAAATTTTCTTTATCATGTGTCACTTCTTAATGACCAGTAGAAGTAATTGCTTTAAATGATATTTTGGAAAGAAATAAAGTGTGTGCTATACATGGCAACTTAATGGTATTAAACATTTATAGCCAATTAGTATATACATACGGACATTTGAGGGCAGGATGTTTGTTTTTAGAACATTACTGTTTCATATAAGGATAAATGGGTACATGGTAAAACATGCTATTTGTGGGGTTAATGAATAATGGCTTATATTGCAAATGATTATTTTAAACTCTGCGTGGTGAATATTGTGAAATTACATTTTCTCCTTTGGATTTTGTTTTTCCTTGACATATCTTTCATATTAATTAAATGCACTCTGTAGTTGATATGTTAACTTTCAGCAGGGAAAATAAATAGAAGCCTTATTCTCTTATTGAGTTCTTACAGAAAAAGTGCATTCCATATCGATAATTACTCATTTTAGGAACTAGAGTAATATTCTTAAAAATTCTACCTTTATAGTATTATGTATCAAGAAGTAGCCATAGAGAATTATAAAAGTCCATTGCAATTAACCCAAGAACTGGTAAGTTAAAAAAAAAAAGTGTGGATAAATCTTTGTAAGAGGAATCTTATCAAGATTTCAGTGAAAAGTGTTTTAGGGTCTGTTTCTCAAAAATGAATTGTTCCTGATATTAAAAATTTTATTCCCAGATGCTTTGCTGTCTAATGTTGACCAGATTGTCCAGGAAACACAGGTGAGATTCTTATCTGTCGCATACATCAGCTCTTTAAATGGGTATATTCTTTTATAAATGAACTTAAATTTTTGTTTTGCCAGCTTATGTACCTTATTGAAATTTCAATTACAACTTAATGTCAACAGCAAAGAATGAACTTCAGTTCAGTTAAGTGCATTTCCAATTCCTAAATTTACATATTTCTGGTTAAGTGAACATTTCTGACTCATGCGGTAAGAATAAAGGGAACACTGATATGACTGAGTCAGTGCTGGAGTCATGCATGATATAATGAGCATTTAAAAATATTTCCCAGTGGGAAGACAGTGGCTTAATAAGAATCTGTTCACTCCTATCGTTGACATCCACATCCGAAGAGGAGTTGATGATACTTTACATTTCATTAAAGTGGAGGAGCAAGAGTGTTTCTCTCTTATCTAAAATGAGTGAAGCTGCTCTAAAATGGAGAAAAAGACAACCCATGAAATATTCATGGAATCCTTTTGTCAGCAACAAATTACTCTTCTTGGTGTGCTTTTATTTTTTTAAGTTTCAAATGAGTATTTGATTCCTGCATTTTAATTGGATTAGAAAGTGTGTTTCCAGAGCAGAATAGCACTTGAGCAATCTGTTCAAACAGCTGGAATCATCAGCCATTTGCTTAAAGTTTGGCACAGGAAAAATCTCCTGCTTTTAAAAGTTCTAAAAGAGGCCATTGATTTATTTCTTGGTAATAAAAATAAGATCTTGGTTTTGTTTTTTACATTTTGCAATAACTTGGACAATCATTGAAGGTTACTCCTAAAAAATTACATCTCCAAATCAAACAAAATGTTTTTCATGCATCATTTCTTTACTGAATTTAGGATTCCATTCTCGTGTTGGGGAAAAAAAAAGAGCAGATGGCTCACTAGAAACAATCAATAGCACAGCGTCTGCCACATATTTTATGTTCTGTTTTGTGTACTGAACTGACCCGCCTGAAGGTGCACTGTGTTACCACCACCCCTCTTCCCCTTCTCAATCTTAACCCCTCTCTTCTCTGTCTCCCTCTTTCCCCTGGCTTCTTTCCTTCCTTTTTTGGTTTGATTTTAAAAACTTCATTTATCGTGTAACTTTGGACATCTAGCTGTCCTGAAAGTGAAGATATCGTTTGAAAGGTGTAAGGAGCTAAATGGTTAATCCATCAGAAGCACGGTCCAGAATGATGCTAAATGTTCTATCAAGATTTGGAAGCAGGAAATCAGTCTGAATCCCAGACATTCATATTATTGGGTTTATTTATGTATTTACTACATTCTTATAAGTTGAATTTAAAGAATTTAAAGTCTGTGTACTACCAGAGATAGCAAAGGGTTTGCCAATATGATAAGTAAGATTTATAATAATGACATTTTTGTCCTAAAGTAACTAGTATTAATTATAGAAACTTCAAAAAGTATCATTAAAAAGTAAATATAAATCCATCATAGTCCAACACCTAGACACAGACACTAATAATCTGGGGGAAAATATTTCAATGATTCTTTATTTGAACATGCAGTAAATTCATGTGTACTGGTAGGTATGTGTGTTTTGTATTAAGTTTACATAGTGAATGTGTACTAGTATATGTGAAATATGTCACCTTTAAAAAAATATTTTGTTAAGACTCTTTTTAGTTTATTTTATTTTATGAATGACTATGTCATCATGTCATAAAAATTTTCCTTCCATGTTGTCTAATTCTTTTTGTTGTCTACAAGCATTAGCAAAAAAAAAAAAAATCATGCACGAAGAATTGTTTTAACAACATTTAGTGGCAATACATCATTCACTTGTTACCCAACTCCTTGCTACATTCTATTATCAGATTTAAGTCACCATATGACCTCAGTATAATTAATCTTGCTACTTGGTCAGTGGTTTCTGCTGTAGCAGGCCTGCAGTCCCTACAACTGTCAGCACAACCATACAGTGATGCCCCTTTGAGGAGACCGTGGCCTGTGTGCTCTGAGTCATCTCCTGGCCTTTCACATGTCAGCAGGACTTTCTGCGTGTGAATGAAGGGAGAAGGAGAGCTGGCAGAGATTCCAGCTGTGCTCACAGCTGGTCCACTCTTTCTGTAAATAGAAAATAAAAGTAAGCAATAAACCCGTGTTCCTTTTTTAATATATAAAAATGTTTCCAAGGCAACAATTTTAAATTGATTACACCACAGTCCCTAATAGAACATCAAGCTCTAATAGGAAGGTACAAAGAGGGAAGAAGGTACAGTGCATGAATTTTGTGCACTGGGCCTCTAGTAATATATAAATGAATAAAAAGTAATTTTGATTATAAATAAACAGCAATATCTAAATAACTATGTGAAAACACAGGAAAACAAAGGAAATCAGAGCTATGCAGCACAGCAAATGTGTGAATATGATCCAGATATCTCTCCAATGGTTTTATTTTTCCTCCTCAAGGAAAAATGACCAACATTCAAGTTAATTTTTCAAGTTAATTTTTCAAAATAAGAATACTATATAGGCCCTTATATAGAAAACATCAATTTTTATAATAATTAAAGCACACTTTTGACATATTTATTTGAACATTACAGAAAAATCAGAAGAAGTAAACCCTAGTTTCAGTCCTGGCCTTTAAAAACCATTTCATTCTTTTATAGATATTAGAACTATATAAGATAAAAATCTTTCATAGCTCTTAATTATATTTGAGTAAGGGCAGCAACAGCATTTTCGCACAATCCATTCAACATCAGGACATTTTTCCAACTCTTAATGTTGAGGTAGCTTTAATTTGCTCTTTTCTTTGTACTATTAATAAGACTATCCACCATGTTGTACATGATACCCTTTAACTGTGATGTGAGGGCCATTACTGAAACACCTTGAATCTACCCCCCATTCATCACTTTTACTTCTTATAAAAGTTTGACATAATTATTACAATTTATTTTGTTTATCTCTTTCTCATGCTCTTGTAATTTTTGGTATTAAAATAAACTTTGCTATTCTGTAATTTTTGGTATTAAAATAAACTTTGACTATTTACAAAGTCAAACTAGTTATGCTATCCACTATATTCTTCTTCTATATGTAGCTACTTTCTGAAACTTTAACTTTGGCATAATGGAATTATATATTTTTTCTATTAAAAGGAACATATTAGGTATACCAAAATAAAATCCTGTTGAGATCCAATTTCATCAAAATAAGCTATGCTATAAACCCAACAGAGAGGAATATAGATATATCCCATTGTAATTTAGTGATTTTGCATTTTTAAAAATAATCTTCCAGTATGATAACTGATACTTATATTTCAGTTATTTCCGTGGTAATTATTTATTACAAAAAGGATATACATCTCTTATCTATTAATAATCCTCCAACATTGTGTAAATTCTTTGTTCAATAATTTTAAAAATTAGCTCTGGCTGGTTTGGCTCAGTGGATAGAATGTCGGCCTGCAGACTCAAGGGTCCCAGGTTCGATTCCAGCCAAGGGCACATGCCTGGGTTGCTGGCTTTATCCCCAGTGGGGGATGTGCAGGAGGCAGCCAATCAATGATTCTCTCTCATCATTGATGTTTCTATCTCTCTTTCCCTCTCCCTTCCTCTCTGAAATCAATAAAGATATTTAAAAAAAAATAAAAAAAATAATTTTAAAAATTAGTTTGTTCCAAAATTAATTACACTTACTTAGATTACCAAGTGGTTGAAATATATTTTCTTCAATATATTTCAGTACCTTGCCTACCTTTATCAAATAAAGTAATCTAAATAATCATAATATACTTTAATAATTTTATCACCAAGTTATACAAGTAGGTTCTACATCAGCATTCTGATATAGAATATTTAGTAGATAACTAAGAAACTATATTTCATGATTTATTTGTGCCATATATTTATAACCCCTAAATATGTGGTTGTTTTTGAATGGGAAGAAGACAAATTAATTTTATTTTATATGTATGAAATTGTATAGTTCTCAAAAATTACTTTCCATCTTGATCAAGCATAGACTTTCTGGACAAATCTTTTTTTTTTTTTTAATATATTTTATTGATTTTTTACAGAGAGGAAGGGAGAGAGATAGAGAGTTAGAAACATCGATGAGAAAGACCTCCTGCACATCTCCCACTGGGGATGTGCCCGCAACCCAGGTACATGCCCCTGACCGGAATCGAACCTGGGACCTTTCAGTCCGCCGGCCGACGCAGGACAAATCTTAAATGTAGTATTAAGTACTAAGTTCTCAGAACATAGAGAAAAACATATTTATAGTTTATTATAATTATAATCATATTAACTTTTCTGGTGAATTATTGTCAGTTTGCACATTTATTGTATTTGTCCTGTTGGTGAGGAACTAATTATTGAATATGTATAATTGTCTTTACCATCATTAAATTTATAATTAAATTTTATAAAATCTAAATATTATACTAAACTCAGCAGAATATATTTAAAAGGTAGAGATCACTTAGGTTTTAGATGTAATGAACAAATTTTATGTAATATGTTCATGTTTTAAAAAACCAGTATAAATATTTATTATAACTTAGATGCTACACATTAATGAATAAAATCATTATGGTTTTTTATCTTGAGACTGTACATGTGAAACATCAAAGCAAGGGAAAATTCCATTTCACAATTTGGCTTTGACTTGCATAGTGATTTAGGCTAAATACATTTAGATTTTTTTAAAATCAGATTATTTTATATATCCACCAATTTGAATGACCAAGCAATATCTTAAGTGCTAATGTGCATGTCTAGGCTGTTTTCAGAGGAGTGTCTTGTATTACAGCAAGGCACTCCTGCCTGAGTCCTGACAGTTCAGTAAGTTCTGGATTTCTAGCACGATGATCTTATCAACTATGTGTTTCTTTTCTTTTATATTTTTTTCCTTTCATTTCAGAGGCTGGAGTTAATCTGAAGAGCACCACTTCTCTCTCCTGAAAAAATGTTGCCACTGATATTTTTACTGGATAAAATTCAAAAAAAAGTTTCAATTCACAAAGGCTAATTGTTGAACTGATGTCCTAGAAGAAATTGTCCACAGGAGCTGAAGCAGAAGTTTCTGATGCCGGTGCAACTGGCTCCATCAGATCACTGTTCATCTCTTTTAAAACCAAATTGTTTTTCTTCTGGTCCACAATTATTTTTTTTAAAAAGAAGGAAAGAAATAAGCCTATATTGGGCATCGAGTTCTGTATCAATCCATGTTACATTGCCATCCATGATTTAAGACTGTAGAATCTTGAATAATCTATATCACTTTAACGAATAAATGTTTTACTATGACCGAATTCGCACTTTGCCTGATTTGTGGAAATATCACTTCAAGTATGAATGGTGAAATGATGTTTGCAAGAACTAATAATATTATTTTACATTTATGTAGTGCAAAAACCTTAAGGCATTACAAATTGTTTTATAATTCTGGAACTATTTCTTCTGTGACTGAAGTCCACCCACTTCTTGGGAGAGCAGTGTAGCTGTTTAAACAGCATTATAGGCATTGTATTCCTCAGTGAAAGACTGAAAATGATGAGGGATCTCTTTTCCTAGTGGAACTTCAGAAAGCATTAAGGTAGGCATATTGTAATTAATACAAATTATTCATTGCTTTTCTGGAGAGCTAGGGCAATGATGTTTTAATAATTTTAGGCCTTATGTTTCATTTTAAGTGTCCATTTCTCCAATTTTGCACAATTCCAGAGAAAATAACGAACATACATCTGATTTAACTCCAGTAGAAATAGTAGTAAGATATCTTTGATGGCTAATAAATGTTAATACTGTCATGTTTAAGCAAAATCAAAGCCCAGCATTTAAGAGGTGCTCCTGGTGTCAAGCAGGCCTGAGTTCAGACTTTAGTTAAGCGAATTTGGCCATTTGGCCATTCTACATTTCCATGGACTTACAGAATAAATATATTGTAAAATTTGAAAATGCACACTAATTACTGCACATGGCTTAAGCAGAAAATTCAATTAGAAATATTAGTGGCATTGTTATTAACAATTGAAGTAAGGTTCTCTAAAACATCAGAGATTTTATTTTTGCCCCTTGACAATTCTGATAGTTATTAATTATTAAAAGTAATATGTAGTTTAATTTTTTTAAATTAGTTAAAACTAAAAAAGCCAGAGAACTTTGTTTTTTTTATTTTATATACATTTGTAATTCCTCTTTTTTCTTTTCTTTTTTTAATTAAGTTATTACATTATGTCCTTATCCCCATGTTACCCCCCTTCACCCCACCCATGCCCTCACCCCCCTGTTGTCTGTATTTTTTAAGAAATTTAGATTAATCTGTTAACCATTTCATATCACTTAGACTATTTTAAATATACAATCATCCAAAGAGAGGTTACAGATTGCCAGTCATTAAATGGCACTTGGAATCTGTGGTAGTAGTCACCTAAACAACAATTTAAACATCTGTATACACACACAAACACACACTCCCAAATACATGCAATACATGATTGAAACAGAAGTAAGTGGTTTGAGTTGAAAGTTATAATTAATTTGTGATCTTGGGCAACTGGCTTAATTCTGTTTCTTTACAAATGCCCTAGAACCGTGGTCGGCAAACTGGGGCTCGCGAGCCACATGCGGCTCTTTGGCCCCTTGAATGTGGCACTTCCTAAGCCTTAGGTGTACACTAATTAAGTTAATAACAATGTACCTACCTATATAGTTTAAGTTTAAAAAATGTGGCTCTCAAAAGAAATTTCAATCGTTGTATTGTTGATATTTGGCTCTGTTGACTAATGAGTTTGCCAACCACTGCCCTAGAACAATCTTGTTTACATATGTGTATGAATATGCATGAGAAAATGTTTATGGGGACAAGGCGACACTCAACAATATTTCATATGAGTGGAATCATACAGTATTTGGCTTTTCATGTCTGGCTTTTCCTACTTACCAAAATGTTCCAAGATTCATCCATGTTGAAGCATGTATTAGAACTTTATATCTCTTCATAGCTAAATATTATTCCTTTGCAAATGCATGGCACATTTTGTTTATCCCACAGAGAATAATGCTAAAATGAACATTTTTATATAGGTACACATATTTGTTTCAGTTTTCAAATTGTTGGCTATAGACCTAAGGGTAGAATTGCTAGAGCACATTGCAATATTTTGTTGAGTTCATTAGGGAACTGTTAAATTATTTTTTACTGTGGCTACATTTTACATTCACTCAATGTCTAAGTGTGCAAGGGTTCCATTTTGTCCACACATGTAATTTTTAATTTTTTAATAGTCATCCTTGTAGGTATGAATTATCTCATTATTTGCAGTTTCTTAATCAAATAACAATGATATTGCTCTTTTCATGTACTTATTGGCCAGTTGTATGTCTCCTTTGAAAAATGTTAACTCAAGTACTTTGCCCCTCCTTTTGTTATTTAGCCACTACACATTCTATATATTTTAAACATTAACTCTGTGAAATAGGTTAGTTTCTATTTTCTAAATTACAAGATTTTAATTGGGCCATGACAATTAAATTCTATTTAAGGAAATGGCTTGAATTCCAGACCCTAATGTTTGTATATCATTTGCCAGTATATTAACCCATTCTGTAGATTACCTTTTCACTTTCTTTTTTATATATATGTTAATTATTACTTTTTATTTTATTTTTTCACACAGGATTTTATTTTTATTTAATCATTATTATTGAAAGTATTACATGTTCTTCTTTTTACGCCCCACGGACCCATTCTAGTCTGCTCCCACCCCTGGCCCAGGCCTTTACCACCCTATTGTCTGTGTCCATGGGTTATGCATGTATGCATACAACTTCTTTGATTGACCTCTTCCCACCACACACCCACCCCTGCCTGCCCTCTAAGATTGTACGGTATGTTTGATGCTTCTGTGTCTCTGGATTTATTTTGTTCATCAGTTTATTTTGTTCAATAGATTCCACATATGAGTGAGATCATGTGATACTTGTTTTTCTATGACTGGCTTATTTCACTTAGCATAATACTTTCCAGGCCCCTCCATGCTGTTTCAAAGGGTAAGAGATCCTTCTTTTTTACATCTGTATAGTATTCCATGGTGTAAATGTACCATCGCTTTTTTATCCACTCATTTACTGATGGGTACTTGGGCTGTTTCCAGATCTTAGCTATTGTAAATTGCACTACTATGAATATAGGAATGCATACATTATTTCTTATTAGTGTTTTGGGTTTCTTAGGATATATTCCTAAAAGTAGGATCACTGAGTCAAATGGCAGTTCTGTTTTTTATTTTCTGAAGAAACTCCATATTTTTCCACAGTGGCTGCACCAGTCTGTATTCCCACCAGCAGTGCACGAGGGTTCCCTTTTCTCCACAAACTTACCAGCACTTGTCATTTGTTGATTTGTTGATGGTAACCATTCTGGTAGGTGTTAGATGATACCTCATTATCATTTAAATTTGCATCTCTGAAATGATCAGTAACTTTGAGCATGTTTTCATATGTCTCTTAGGCATCTGTATGTCCTCTTTGGGGAATTGTCTACTAGGTCATTTGCACATTTTTTCTTTCTTTCTTTTTTTTTTTTTTTTTTGATGGGATTGTTTATCTTCCTTTTGTTAAGTTTATGAGTTCCTTACATATTTTGGATATTAACTCTTTACCAGATATATCATTGCCAAATATGTTCTACCATACAGTGGACTCCCTTTTCATTTTTTTTGATGGTTTCTTCTGCTGTTCAGGAGTTTTTTATTTTGATGTTGTCCCATTTGTTTATTTTCTCCTTAGTTTCTTTTTCCCTAGGAGATGTATCTGCATAAATATTGCTAGGAGAGATATCTGAGATTTTGTTGCCCATGGTTTCTCCTAGAATTTTTATGGTTTCATGATTTACATTTAAGTATTTTGTCCATTTTGAGCTTATTATTATGTATGGTGTAAGTTGGTGGTCTAGGTTCATATTTTGCATGTACCTGTCCAATTTTCGCAACGCTATTTGTTGAAGAGACTGTCTTGAATAATTGTATGCTCTTGCATTCTTTGTCAAATATCAATTGCGCATAATGGCTTGGGTCATTATCTGGGGTCTCTTTCTGTTCCATTGATCTAGATGCCTTTCTTGTGTCAGTATCAGGTTGTTTTGATTACAGTGGTTTTACAGTATAACTTGATATCTGGTATTGTGATCCCTCCAACTTTGTGCTTCTTTTTCAAGATTGCTGCACCTATTTGGGGTCTTTTTTGGTTCCATATAAATTTTTGCAGTATTTTTTCTAGATATGTGAAATATGCCATTCGTATTTTAATAGGGATTGCATGGAATCTATAGATTGCTTTGGGTGGTATGGAAATTTTACTGATGTTGATTCTACCAATCCATGAACACAGTTATAGTCTTCCACTTGTTTATATTTTCCTCTATCTCTTTTTTCAAAGTCCTGTAGGTTACTAAGTACAAGTCTTATACCTCCTTGGTTAAGTTTATTCCTAATTATCTTAAATTTTGTGTTGCAATTGTAAATGTTATTATATATATAATTTCAGAGAAGGAAAGAGAGATAGAACCATCAATGATGAGAGAGAATCACTGATAGGCTGCCTGCTGCACACCCCTTACTGGGGATTGAGCCCATAACCAGGGCATGTGCCCTGACTAGTAATTGAACCGTGACTTCCTGGTTCATAGGACGATGCACAACCACTGAACTGCACCGGCCGGTAGGATTTTTTAGATTCTCTTTCTGAGAATTCATTATTGGTGTGCAAAAATGCCATCGATTTCTGGGTGTTAATTTTGTATCCTGCTTCATTGCCAAATTCATTTATTAAATCTAGTTGTTTGGTGGAATCTTTACACTTTTCTATGTACAATATGATGTCATTTGCATATAATGAGAGTTTTACTTCCTTCTTTCAAATTTGGATGCCTTTTATTTCTTCTTCTTGTCTGATTACTATGGCTATAATTTCCAGTACTATGTCGAACAGGAGTGGTGAAAGCTCAGATCTCTATCTTTTGCCTCTTCTTAGGGGAAATTGTTTTAGTTTTTGCCCATTGAGTGTGATGTTGGCTGTAGGTTTGTCATATAAGGCTTTTATTATGTTGAGGTATGATTCATTTTTCCCACTTTGTTGAGAGTTTTTATCAGAATGGGTGTTGGGCCGTAGCCAGTTTGGCTGAGTGAATAGAGTGTCAGCCTGCAGACTGAAGGGTCCCAGGTTTGATTCCAGTTAAGGGCACATGCTCGGGTTGTGTGCTTGATCCCCAATAGGGGGTGTGCCGGGGCAGCTGATCAATGATTCTCT